AGAAAAAAAAAGAGGAAAAAAAAAGGATATGTGGAGAAAGAAATTGGAAATTGCGACCAATTTTATTAATTTATATTTACTGAAGCTTTGTTTGACACGAAAAATAAGAAGAAAAAATAAGAAAATTTGCATTAAAAAGAAAACGGAGATGCAGAGAAGGAGAGAAAGAAAAGAGAATAAAGAAAGGAAGGATGCAAACGAGGAAAAGAAGAAAAAATAAGGAAGAAAAAGAAGAAGAGCAAAGAGAAGAAGCGAACGAGGAATAAAAAAGGAAGAGGAGAAAATGAAGGAGGAGCAAAGAAAGATATGGAAAGAAGAAAAAAAACAACAAGAAAAAACAAAGAGAAGGAAACGACAGAGAGAAATGATTAAAAAAGAGAAAAATAAGATACACAGAAGTCTATGCTGACCTGACCTCGTTTAAAAGAATCAACGCAAGATGAAATAAAAGATTTAAGAAAAAACAGAAAAAAACAAAGGAAGTTGTGAACAATAACGAATATTTACGAAACACAGAGAGCAAAATCGCTTGATAAACAATTAAGCAAAAGTTATAGGAAAATCGATTCAAAATATAATTTCAGATAAACAGAAAAAAAAAAAACAAAGAACATCTTTAAACTAAAACAAGTCAACAAATTAGTCATTTTTTGATAACGCGACCTTGAAAATATAGGAACGAATAAAAGCTTAAAAGACAAATAGATAACAATAGATACATACAAATAAATGAATCTTTAAAAAATAGATAATAGATAGAGAGATAGATAGATAGGTAGGTAGACAGATAGATTAGTTAGACAGACAAACAGATAGACATAGATAGATAGTAGACAGACATAGAAGATAGATAGGAGACAGACAGATATAGCTTAGACAAGACAGGACAGATAGATAGATAGATAGGTAGACAGACATAGATAGATAGGTAGAGCAGAATAGATATAGATAGATAGGTAAGACAGACTGATAGGTAGACAGACATAGATAGATAGATAGGTAGACAGTAGGTAGATAGGAGACAGACTATAGATCCAGACAGATAGATAGATAGATGGATAGTAGTAGACAGACATAGATATAGATATAGATAGATAGATGAATTAGATAGATAGATAGATAGAGGATAGATGATAGATAGTATAAATGAATACGAAATAAACTTATTACGTAAGAGGTTTCCTTAATAAATGAAGGAGATAGTGAGAGAAAGAATAAGAAGGAGGGAGATAAAGAGAGAGAGATAGAGCTTATCACGAGGGAAAAATACTCCAGTGACGTCAGACGGAATATGAGAATGGATAAAAATAGAGAGATGAGAGAACAAAAGAAGTCAGAAAAAACTATTTTTATTTTTATTTTTTTCTTCTTCTTTTACGAGAGGAGAGAAAGAGATAGGAAGGAATGAAAGAGAGGGGAAGGAGAGAGGGAGAGAAAGATTTGGAGAGATAGTAGCATAGAAAAAAGTAAGATATACATACATACATATATTATATATATATATATATATATATTATATATATATATATATATATTGTATATAATATATATATATATATATATATAATATATATATATATATATATAATATATATATATATATATAATATAACCAACGGACTTCCACCTTCTCCACTTTTTATTCTTCCTCTTTCATTTTTCTTCCTCTCCCTCACTCTTTTTTCCCCCTTCTCTTCTTTCCCCATCTTCTCTTTCCTCCCTATCCCATCTCTCTTTAATCTTCCTTCTTCCTTCTCCATTTTCTTTTTCTTCTTCTTCCTCTCCTATCTCTCTTCTCTTCCCCTTCCTCTTCTCTCTCTTTCTTCTTCCTCTCCCTCTCCTATCTCTTTTTCTCTTCTATTTTTTTTTTCTCTCCTATCTCTCTTTCTTCTTTTTTTTCTCTCCCACCCGTCTTCCTTTCCTCTCCTATCTCTCTTCTTCTCTTTTTTTCTCTCCCACCCTACTTCCTTTCCTTCTCCCTCATCTTCCATCGTTCTCTCTCTTCCTCTCCTATCTTTCTCCCTCCTCTTCTCCATCCCCCATCTTTCCCTTTTCTCCTCTCCTTCCCCCTCCATCTTTCTTCCTCTTCTTCCCTTTCCCATTTTATCCCTTCTCCTCTCTCTTCCCCATCATTCCTCCCTCTCCTTCTCCCTCCTCCCATCATACCAACATACCTTCTCCAGCTTCTTCATCTCCCATCTTTCTTCGCTCCTTCTCGCTTCTCCCCCCCCCCCCCCCCACCTTTCCTCCCTCTTCCATCTCCCTACTCCGTTTTATTCCTTAATCTCATTCCCCGTCTTTCCCCCCTCCTCCTCTCCCTCCTCATCTTCATTCCTCCTCCTCCTTCCTTCCCCCTTCTTTCTCCCCTCCTCTCCCTCCTCATCTCCCTTCCTCCTCCTTTTCCTTCCCCTTCTTTCTCCCTCCTCCTCTCCCTCCACCATCTTCTTCCTCCTCCCTCTCCCTCCTCACTCTTCCCTCCCATTCCTCCCCCTTCCCGCCCCCCCTCCCTCACCCCCCTCCCACCCCCCCCATCCCCACCATACCAACACAGCCTCCCCACCCTTCTCCCTCTTCTCCCTCTGGTATCGATAACAGAACCCAGAAGCTTCACCATAATTCCAGCCCGCCGAAAGTACACCATCCACACCAGGTCACAATAGACACTGTAATCCGGCGTCTCTGATCTTTTCTCTCACTCACAATACGCAATCCTGCCCCGGATTTCGCACGTCGGGTCATTTTCGCCCTTAGAACCCCCGTGCACAAGGGTAAGGATCGTTTAACGGCGTGACCGGGTTGTCATCAAAACAGGATTCTGTAAAGGAATGGATTTTTTTTTTTTTTTGGGGGGGGAGGGGGAGGGGGTGATTTATCTCCTTCGGTTCGGTGTCAAATGAGGAGTTAATTCGGCGTATGAGTGTGTTTGTTTGTGTCTCTTGTGTTGTGTGTTGTGTGGTGTGTGGTGTGTGTGTGTGTGTGTGTGTGTGTGTGTGTGTGTGTGTGAGTACGTGTGTGAGTTTGTGACTGTGTGTGTATGTGACTGTGAGTTTGTGGTGTGTGAGTGAGAACGTGTGTGAGTTTTTGTGTGTGTGTGTGCGAGGGTATGTATACAAAATAAGAAAAAAGTTATATCATTCATAATCATCAAGTAATCCCCATCAATATTACCATCATCATCATTATCATAATACCAGTATCTCTCTCTCTCTCTCTCTCTCTCTCTCTCTCTCTCTCTCTCTCTCTCTCCTCTCTCTCTCTCTCTCTCTCTCTCTCTCTTTCTTGGGTAGTGGCTTGGGTAATCAAATTTATCATGAGGGACCCTCGTGGCTGGAAGCTGAGGATGGATGACTGACCAGAAATAACATTTTTTTTCTGTTTGATAATAATATGTCTGGCGGTAAACGAAACATGAAAGTCTCCCTTAAAATTCATACATTTTCTATGAAATCAGTGAATTGCATTCGTTTTCTTTGATATTGAAACCAGGGTTCTATAATACACGTGCAGGATGTTAACTTTAAATACGAAAGCAAAAAAAATGATATTGAAAATAATAGTATAGC